TGGGGGCGCTCCCGCGGCGCACGGCCTGACCCGCAGCCTCCCTCTCCACCGCCCCTGCTGTACCCAGATGTCGGCGGCTTCCGGGAAGCCCGTCGGACAACCCGCCTCCACGCGCTTGTCCACGAGTCTGCCCTACCCTGGCGGTGGCCTCTTGGCCGGCACCCTGACCCCTCCTTTTCCGCAGGTCCCTCTTGGTGGTTCCAAGAAGACCCCCGGCACAATAATGCCCTCCTCACCGGGCCCCCCGCGCCGGCCCTCCTCGGACCCCTCGGCCACCCTAGGGGACGCTGAGGCAGCGCGCCAGCGTTTCCGGGGGTTCTGCTACCAGGACGTGGCGGGTCCTCAAGAGGCCCTGACCCGGCTTCAGGAGCTGTGCCGCCGGTGGCTGCGGCCGGAGGTGCGCTCCAAGGAGCAGATGCTGGAGCTGCTGGTGCTGGAGCAGTTCCTGGGTGCGCTGCCCCCTGAGATCCAGGCCTGGGTGCGGGACCAGAGACCAGGCAGCCCTGAGGAGGCTGCAGCCCTGGTGGAGGGCCTGCAGCACAACCCCGGGCAGCTACTGGGCTGGGTGAGTATGGCCGCTTTGGCTTTGTGGAGGGACAGAGGGAGACTAGAGCCCCGGTGACTTCCTCTCCCCCTCAGATCACAGCCCATGTCCTGAAGCAAGCAGTGCTCCCAGCACCACAGAAGGCAGAGGACTCACTGGGGAGCCTCCACCCTCCAGGGATAGTAGAGCCCCTCAGGGCAGCCGCTGGGGAGGGGCCGAAGGATGCCCAGATGGAGGGTTCTGCCCAGCTCAGCTGTAGTGTAAAGAAGGAGCCTGATGCCGATGGGCAGGAGATGGGTGAGACTGGGGGCCTCCTGGCAGGAGTATGGACATCCACAGCTGGGACTGGGACCCGGGAGGGACCGCAGACTGCAGAGCTGGGCCCCTGGGAGGCAGGAGGAAAGGGCTGGCTCCATGCACGCCAGGTGACTGGTACAGTGGTCTGCCTGCTAGCAGAGGAGGCTGCAGCACCAGCCCAGCTGCCCTAGCTCACGGGAGCAGCCCCTGACCGCTGTCTGCCTCACTTCCTAGCACCCGCCAGTCCCCCAAATCCAGCCCAGTCCCAAGAGGGGCCAGTTGGACCTGGGGGACCAGATTCTGCCTCCTTCCACCCACCCAGGATTCAGGTGAGCAACCCCAGGTGGGAGGAGAATGTCCTTGGTGTCCACTCTGTCCTGCCAGTTTTCCAGGCTCCTTGGCCAGCCACTGTTGTGCTCTTTGCCGCCCAGATTGGAGTTGGTATCAGGGTGCCCTACAGGTCCTGGGGGACAGAGGACAGAGGGACAGACTGGTGGTCTCCACAATTGGGAAGGATTTTAGAAATTTGGTTTATAGTGACAGGAACTGTTAGGGGTTTACTTCCACACAGAAAAGTCAGGGGGTTGCGGCTCCCTGCAGTCCTGAGCTGGCACCCGGGGATTTTCATGCTCCTGTTAAGGTGGGGAGGGGACAAGATGACCAATCTTGGGAGGAAAGCCAGAGCATCACGCAGCAGCCCCGTCTCCGCAGCACAGCTGAGGTCGGAATGCAGAGGCTCTCTGTGGGAAATGCCCACAGCTCCTTCTCTCCAGCTGGGTGTGGAAGCTCAGCTGAGGCCCCTGCTACCTGGAGTGCTTGTTTCTTGAGTGTGGGTAGCAGGAGTCCTGTCCCCTCCCAGCCTCTTTGCTCCTAATCCACTCGACTTGAGCATCCCAGTAGAAGAACTGGCTGAGATGAGCTTAGAGGTTGCAGAGTGCCCCAGGCACTGTAGGGAAGTGAGGCCAGTGGAGAGACAGGGCTCAGAGCCGCCTCATCTCCAGCCGGCACCCTCCTGGCTGTGGCGCTGTGTGGCTACCGCCTCCCCTATGGCTTGTCAGTGGAGACTACTTTTCCCAGCCCAGCAAAGCCTCACCCAGATGACGGGATTCTGGGAGGCGAGGAGGGCATCCCCTGGAAAGCCTGAAAGAGCTCACCTGTCCATACGAGGAACACAGCCCACCGCCCAGCCAACTGCCCACATACATCACCTGCTCCCGAGGTGTGGGGCTGCACCTTCTATCAAGAGCCCTCCCGCAGCCAGGTGCCCACAGCCGGGAATGCTGACAGCCCTTCAAAGCTCCCCCAAAGAGGGCCTTTATTAGGAGAGGAGACTGGGGTCCCCTGAGTCCCCCAGGCTTTTGCTGGGGATACACTGCTTGAGGCACAGGAGTGGGGCCAGCTACATTTGTCCCTGCCTCCCCCGAAGCCCAGGGGTCCTCGGCTCAGTCTGTCCTGCCAGAACCTGGGGTGGGGCAGCCTTCGCCAGGTCAGCTGTTGGCCGCTCCCTCCCTGCCTGGCTTCCCCAGTACTCACACCCCCGTCTCAGCCTCATCTGAGCCTCCGGAATGGAGGCCGTGACCCGGGGCTGGGCGGGCGTGGAGGGCTCGGCAGTGACGGGCCACTTCCGGGCAGGAGGACTGGGGGCTGCTGAACCCGTCCCAGAAGGAGCTGTACTGGGACGCGATGCTGGAGAAGTACGGCACCGTGGTGTCCCTGG